TTATTGTTATTATTATTATTATCAGCATTATTATTATTATTATTATTATTATTATTATTATTATTACTATCTAATGCTAAAAACTGATTTCCGAGACACCGTGGTAATAGGTACTGGTCATCTTTGCTTATTACTGACGTGGCCATCTTTGTTTGTTACCGCTGATTATGACACTTGGGTGGATACGTCACATGAATTTCCTCTCTGACTTGAAGAAAAAAACACTATGGCTCTTCAATCCTCGGTGTCCCCAAAGGGGTGACCTGCGCTGACTCCGTTACGAGATACCCAACATTCTCGTAAACTTGGAAAGGTCCTCGCTGTTAACGTCTTTGAGAGTTTGCATATGCTATTTACTGGGGCACATCGTCTTGACTTTATTCTTTTTAGACCTTCTTTCTACTGTAGCAAACATTCTGGTCTGGAAGCGCTCTATTTGTGTCCAGTATGGCATTGAACCCGTATAATAGCAACAGAACCTAACTGCACACAGAAAGGAACTTAGCTTTTATCCCGAAATCAAAACATGCGTGATCGATGATAACCGCGTGATTCCCCCCTCCCACCAGAGACTTCAAGGCAAGGTCAGTCACGAACGGAGAAAGACTGATGAAGACCAGAGGTTCGAGATTTCTCACGTGACGTGACAGACGATTAATGGCAAACGTCAGTTGCCCGAGGCGCCTGTTTACCACCTAGTTTGAGAAAGTAGATGGGCATCGTTCAACGCATGACGTGACGTCAAGACTAGTGTGTGCATCGGTTGGCTGTACGTCAGGATAACCCACCCTAGTGGAAAAACGGGGGAAAGCCAGGAATTTCATTTTTTTTTTCGGAGTCAGGGGTGTAGTCTACGTCACAACGTTACGTAGAGCTCATTTTTTAAACAACAAATCTCTTCATTTTGAAAATGGTTACAAAATCCAGGAGAAAAATGTGGAAGGTGGGAAAACCTGGCCATTGTTTTTTCTTGAAGAGTGGGAACCATGGTGCGTTCTTTCATCACTCAATCAGTGAGTCGACTGGCTTACAAATGAACAAACGCCCGATCGACAGATAGATCGAATAAGTGATTGATGAATCAACCAGTCGTCCGATTTTGCTATAGTTTATTTTGTCTTGTCAATACATATACAATCAATCGATTTTCCCTTCTTTTAAGCTAATAACTAACCGAATGATCAGCCAGTCACTCCCTCCATGCAATTAGCCTTCCGAACATAACAAGCCTACTGGTGACTATGTTTTAGTGTGCTCTATATTATGCTCGGAACATTATCAAAATAGTTGTCTTTTTTTGTTGGTGCATTTACGTCCCCGTCGGCACTATTTTTATCATTTAGGAGGCGTACATCTACCATTCCAGCCAGGGTCAACCCAGGCTGAGACGAATACTACGTTCCAGCAGAAAGACCGAGAAACTCGCTAAAAAATTTTCCCACATCTGAATCGAACTTGGGTCTTCTGCGTTCGACGGTAAAGCACCTAACTGCTACATCACAGACGCCGGTAAAATTATAAGAAACCTTACCTCTACTCATGCCCTGATCGCTAAAATAAAGGTCTTGCGATGGATGTTCTTCGTCAGGCCTTAGGGAATTTACCGGTTTTGTCCCATCCAATGAGGTCAAACAAGGCCATAAATCCCAGTGAGTTTGTGGGGCGCGCACTGATCGAATAGAGGAACTAATAAATACAGCCCAGGGCCGAAGATCCCCCATGTGATTCGTTGTTTATGGCTCGTTCAGACAATACTACGAACTTACAGAAATCGAAAGTTTTGACAGAGCGATTCTATTTAGATGGTGGTCGGTATTTGATAGCACGTTATTGACAACTGTATATTTTACCCTCCAGGCG